TCATATGATTTTATTATAATCTTTCGATTCGTTAGTTAACAAAAATGATATGTATTTATTACAGACTATAGTTGCATTCATTTTCTGAGCTTGAAGAATAGAAATTTGGATGAGTATATATCAAATTTATTCGTTCTTTTAATTTTCAATATAAGATTCATTTGGCTATAAATTGAAACGTATTGAGTTATTCATTATATCGGTCGCGTGAACACTTCCATATCGCTTTCAGATTCTCTAAAGCAGACCTGTTGGAGCTCTGATTTCATTCAAAGCACTACAAATGCATTCACTCTAAAGAAATAGCATACATCCCAAAAAGTTCATTATAGTGCTTTAATGACAGTTTCCACAGTTTAATGGACAGGCTATAATATTATGGGGCTATTGTTTGGTGTGTGGGAACCGGGAACCTACTGGTTGGGGTAAATAATTGTGAAACCTTTGATAGGCAATTGTCGTACAGCTTTTCGCTTTAGCACAATTAAATGTAAAAAACGGGGAAAGAGGAAGCTTTAATATTTTGTTGCTAACTAAGCCTAACGAAGCAATCAACATTTTTGCCCACGCTTTACCAACTGGCTAAAGTTCGATGCTAATGAAACTGATTTATCCCACTTTTATTCTATGAGACATATTTACTAAGCTTTAGTCCAGCATTTTATTATATAGGATTTACAAAGTCTCATTTTATTTACGAACTTTACATAGAAGAACTATTTAAATAATTCAAATTATATTCATAAATCAATTTTATGCATTAATTTTTGGGCATCTTTTACGGCTTTCTAAAAATACACAAATAGCTCGACGAATTTCGGCTTGACAACCGCTTTTGTTTCTTCTAGATAGAACGCTACCTGTTTGACCATATACAGAAATTGCGACTTAGTTAAGCTATGAAAAAGAGGAAACAAATATTTGAATAAACCATTTTATGCAAACGCTATATCTTGTATCTAATATTTAAAATATTTAAAAGAAAAATCTATAAGTGACTATAATTCATTAATGAGCAAAAATTGTCTTGATAATGTTGAATAATTGAACATTTTTTACGAGGCGTTGGAACTAAATAGTTTATACTATGTTTAAATCTTAAATATATTGCTAAAGTAATTTATAGATGCTTAGCTATAGTACTTAAATATTAATTAAAAAATAATTTCTATTGTGTTTTAGAGACTTTTCTTGATGCTGGAAAGTTTAAATGTTATAACCTGTTATATTAGATAATAATGTGGAACGAAAAGTGAATTTTAGCTTCATCCGTTTTTGCTCTCAATTGCTCTCAATTGGTTACAGTTTAGAAAGAATATAAATATATAATAATCCGTAAAGCATAGAACGCTGTTTAAAAATAAAATTAAAAGTATTTTTAAAGCTTATATTTCCTAGAGTGAACTAAAAATTTTAAATGCAAAAATTGTTTATTGTTTATACTGCTTTGACCTAGGTTAACTATGTGAGATAATCATTCGCTTCACCCCATTATAAAATTGACTTTGCATACAAGATGAGTAAAAGCAAAACTTCGTTAAAGATTTAAATTTCGATCCAATTAGTAGATGCACGGACTCGACGGGTTATACTTAAATATATATAAATATATTGTATTGTATATATATATATATATATATATATATATATATATATATATATATATATATATATATATATATGTACATAAATATATGTATTTTCTCATCAAGCGTAGAGATTGAAACATATTATATTAAATATATTACAACAAGTAAGAAAACTCTAGTCGAGACTGCTCGACTAGGAGATACCCTGAATCCTCTAATCTGATATTCTGATATTCTTATATCTTCTGAGATCGACGCGTTCATACATACGGACGGACAGACAGACGGACAGTGCCAAATCGACTCAGCTCGTCGCCCTGATCAAGAATATATATACTTTGTGGGGTCTGCCACGCCGCCTTCTGCCTGTTACATACTTTTAACAAAACCATTATACCCTGATCTCCCATTTTCAATGGGTTCAGGGTATAAAAAGGAAAAGTAATATATATTGCAATTTCCATTTCTTTCTCATAGTATAACGTATATTATATCATATACTGATTTTATACCCTATATTTAGTGAATATCATGATATTTTTAAGAATGAACTATTTTTAATAAACTAACTTTATTTATATACTTAATATCAATAATAGATTCCATATATATAATATAAATTATACATTACATATTATATAACACCTATTTTATTTGATATTTTTTCTAACTAAATTCTGAAATTTAATCGCTTCACTATCTTTAATAATAATGTATATTTACCTAAAAACTTACCTTCAATCATACATTTTATGTACCACCTTATCATATATGGTACATCATGTGTCGCATGTCAATTGCAAACTGATTTTAATTTGGTCTTAGCTCTGTTTGCTGATTTGTGACTAATTATTAGCTCTGTGACACGTAAAGTTCAGTCAATTGCGACTAACTAAGACGCGTGAGAGAGACTTGAGCCGTGATATTGTTGAGACAATATTGGTAGAGTCACAAATAGTTGACCCTTTTTTTCGCTTTACGCATAATGTCAAGTGGGCTGGCTGATAAATGGCTCTTAAAAGTTAATGAGACATGCGTGCGGTTGATGAATAACTGAGCTCTGCTGCACCGCCCAGGTGGCGCAATAAGTGGCTGCGCGGCTTGGTGGTGCTGGCGGTGCAGCAGGAATTCCTTAAGGCGCGCTTCAATGTGAACCTTTTCAAGGCTCTAGACCAGGTCGACGAGGTAGTCGTGGCAATTGGCACGTAGGCCAATGCAAGCGTCATTGCTGACGCAATTACCTAGCGACTCCTTCCGTTCTGAGATAGTTTTGGATTCTTGTGCTGACTGTACAGTGAAGACGTAGATGCGACGCGAGCCTCGCACACAGCCTTGACTTGAGTTGACGCGACGCCACTTGGACCAGATGCCGCCTTGGTCACGTAGGCCAAGACATTTAGATCAAAACCTAATCAAACCAGTTGACCACTCGCCAATTGCTCCAGCTCCAAGAGCCGGCTAGTCACCTGTAAACAAACTTATTTGCTCGAATCTGACGCATACGCATTTGCATTTGCATTTCGTCCATTTAGTTTTAGGTCAGCAGATGTTTAACTTGAATATAATAAGTTGAGCGTGGGGGGCTCAGATGCATCTGAATTTACCATATATATACAAATTTCTGACTAAAATATATGTATGCATATATTATATATTTAGTCAAGCAAGCACGTAGGCAAGGCACGATCTCTAATGATGCATATCTGTAACTCATTTGCCACGGTGAATTTACAAATCACAAATTATATAGCGTATACGACTAGCAGATACCCTGCTAAAGCCTAACTCAGCTATATAACATGCCAATTGTAATACATATATCTAGTATTGTATGTAGGGTTGCCAGATGGATCCCTCGATGTTGGATTGAGCTAGCCAGCTTTGTCCTCTACATAGGATACCTCATATATATACTTATATAGGGTATACGAAATAAAACACTGCTGGAGTTTAATAATAACTCTTAAGCACACGATGATAATATTCTTTTAGCTCCGAGTACAGGGTATGTGATTTTCAATTTTAAGTCTTATTAAATCATCTTATGTAGTTAGGTCCACTAGGTTAGGTGTAAAGTAAATTTGAGGGTAGAAGTATTCAAGATTTTGAGCAAAATGCATTTAGTTTCTTCTTTTGCCTTGGACGTATTGCTTTCCTCAATCAATAAAGCTTTTCTCAAAAATTTGCAATGGGTATATGAGATTTAAAAAAACCTACTTACGAAAGTACCAAGCCTGATTTAGGCACAAGTTATGCAAAGTAAAAGACTTTTAAACGCAAATTCAAGATGCCGCCTATCCCACGAGTATAGGATATAAAACACATATGTATTTAAATCAGAGCCGTAATCTGAAAGCTAAGGAAAGTCGAAGCACTTGCAGCTCAATCGAAAACATTTTAGGTCTCACGTTTAACTTTAACAGGGCATAAAAGAGCAGACGAGTTCAATATGAGAACTTGGCCAATTTAATGACTTTAGGCCAACTTAAAGGAAAATTTATTACTAGACTACCAAGAAAAGGGTAGATTTTTGCAGATTAGTCATTGGTAAATAGTTACTAAAACTATGCCTATTGTAGATCTAAGCATATGCACAATAAACAATAAAATAAAATGTTTACTAGGTCTTTCTAGTGAATCAGCTAAACGGTGGAATACTACTGGAAGTATGGAAAAATATTTGCTAGTAACTAACTAACAAATGACGCAACTCAAACTGAAATTATTTTTATTTTCTAGATAATGTATAGAAATATATATATATATATATATATATATATATATATATATAGTTTGAAAGGAGTGGTTTCTTTTGATTCGACAACATATAAAAAATTAACATTGACTTTGGCTCTGTTTGGTTTCCCATTTCGGTATGAATATTTATTAAACTCTAATATTCAAAAGATCTTAAAAAGTTTGAAGCTAAACAATTTAATCTTTTTTTATACCCTTTTCTATTCATGCATTTTTAATAGTTAAAAATTTCTTGACTAAACAGATAATTTTTTTGTTACGTAATAGAATTTTTATACTCTGTTCCCGAAAGGAAAAAAAGTATATTGGTATTGTCTATTGCAATGTCTTATAGGGTAAAATTTTACTTACCCTTCATAGACTAGTTTAGACAAAAGTGGTAAATCGGCCAGCTATGCAAATTTTTCCATTTTCAATGGGTTCAGGGAATAAACACAAACTGGGAACAAAGTATCTCTCAGTCAGTTGCGCCCGACTAGAAAGCTCTTACTTGTTTTATACATACTATATATTATTATCACTTCGCTTCCTGCTCGTAAGTCAAGCTCATTCTAATGCTTATTAGAGTTGCTTGAAATGAAAGCCAGTTTTCAATTTAGGAATAATTTTCATAAATTTGTTTCGCCCAAATCCAATAAGAAATCCAATTGAGTATATTTTTTGTAAATTATTTATTTTACACTCGTTATTTGTGGCATATTGCTTTTGATGCTCGTGTGTTTATTTAATTTGCAAACATTAATTTATAAAAGTGTTTCGCTTAAATTATGTCGTACCAATATAGTATGCTAGAGAATACCTAAACCTACGCAAATGGATAAATGAGGGATATTTGTGGATATCGTTGAATATGGAATCTCTGATTGGGGCTAGGGAATTCGTATGTGCGTGTTTGTGTGTGTATCTGCATTTATTGGTAGAATTTCTTGTGTGCACACGGCCCTCGACCCATTGCAGATTATGCGATACGAATATAAGAATAACAGAATAATTATAATAAGAATATTAATTTAATAAAAGAAACGATAATCGACCATCACCCGCCCCACGCCCAAGACGCACAAGTTGCGGATGCCTAGAAACATATATCGTCCGTATATCGTATATAATTAATTATATATTTATATATACCTATATATATACCTATTCAAGGATATATATAGTTATATATAGAAACAGCCATATGTGGCCTGCTTCTGGTATGACAAGACCTCGCATGATTTTATGAGTTAAGGGTTAAGATTTTTACGAACATATTTGTTTTTGATGTTTGTATTTTTTTTTCTTGTTGTTTTTTGTTGTTGTTGTTGAAGAGCCCCACACTTAAGTAAACCGCTGAATCCTTGACAATTCACAATCTGTCCTTAGCAGCTGTAACTACTACCTAATCCTTAAGCGGCCAACTTTTTTGTCGCCTTCTTCTGTCGCTCGCCCTCGTTCTCATTCTCGTCGAGCTTGGCGCTCTCAGTGCTGCTCGACTCGGCATCGTACTCCAGCTCGGGATCCGGCACCTCGGCGTAGTGGATATGCCCAACCATTTGGGTGGGCACGGCACCAAATTGAGCTGCTCCCTTGCCACGTTGCGATTCATGTGACCCGTCGCCAAACTTCTCGAGAGTGCGACGCACCAGCTCCTTGGACGGCTGCTTCATGTCGTACGCCCAGCCTAGTTTGTGGAATATGTCCAGCACCATGGTGGTGAAGTTGACCTTGTAGCCCAGCTCAGCTGCTTTGTAGTCCCAGGGGAAGACGTGATGGTAGTTGTGCCAGCCCTCGCCCATGGATATGATGGACACGTAGATGTTCTCGCTCGGCATGATGCGCCTTGGGTTATAAAATGAATGGAAATGCTATCACGCGCGAACAATTACCAATCCGGCGGGACACTTACTTGTCATATGGACGCGAGCCCCACAGATGGGCGGCACTATTCACCGACCAGGTGAAGTTCAGGCTGAACACGTAACGGAACAGACACTGGGTCACGAAGGCGTGGTACCAGGAGTCGTTCCAGCAGTAGACCGGCACCAGCGTGGGCAGCACGAAGCAGAGCATCACCTTCAGCACATAGAAGTACTTCTGATGGAATTGTATGACGGGATCCGAAACGATGTCGCTCATGTCGATCTGACGGCCACGACGCAACACTTCCGGATGCTTCAGCATCATTAGCCAGCCAACGTGCGAGAAGAAGAAGCCGCGATTCGCATTATGCGGATCGGCGTCCGTTTCCGAGTACTTGTGATGCACTCGATGATCTCGCACCCAATCGTACATGGTGTTCTGCAAATGGAATTCAAGTTTTCAGTTCGCGTTAATAGTCTCTCTCCATAATCGCATTACGCGCTGTCATTAACTAAGACAAATGTATCTGTCTGTTTTTTCTCTCTCTTTTTGGGCTAACTATCTTTTGTGCATTACACTGCTGTCAATTTCCAGTTTTCGGCATTAAGCTGTTGTACTTAATGATTGCAATTAATGTTAATTACGTTACAGCCAATTTGTCTCTCGGCAAAAAAAAAATAAATTAAATAAAATAAAACAAAACGAAACCTTTGAAAATTAACAAAGCATAAATTAAATGAGTGGACAGAAATGCCAAAATTACATGGCAAAAATTACTTGGCTGTGCTGCCATAAGGTCAGCTAAGCGAATTGTTGACAGAGACAGAGTGGGAGAAAGAGAGAGATAGAGAGAGAGAGAGGGAGAAAGAGATTGATGCGGAAAGGTCAACAGATGCTCGATAAACCTAAAGTGCTATATATGGAAATTCTATAGAAATTGATATATTGTATATATAATAATATAGACTAGATTTAGAATATATATAGACTAGATTTAAGATATTTGAGAGTTCTTTTTATAGTTTTACCTTTTCTTTTCTAATAGAAATGTTTAGATCAGAAGACTCTGGACGAGCTATGTTTCATAACTTACCTGACCAGCTACTGAGTAGCTGATCATCAAAAGGCTTCTGAGGAGCGCGTTCGCCTTATAGCTGCGATGTGTCCAGAAGCGATGAGCACCTGCTGTCACGCCAAATCCAGCAACGCCGCCCATGAATAGAGCTGAAAGTAAACAAAAAATAACACCTTAGATATAGTCATAACAGATCCAATCAACTGCCCTCAAAAGCGTCAATAAAACAGAAGCAGCTAAGAGTGAAACTAATGAAGTGCTCGACTAACAGATACCCAAATCTCACGTGTGTGCTGTCTCTTGAGGTAATGTGAGAAGAGTAAGCAAACAATTGGAATACTTTATATGTGTGTATAGTTGAGAAGAACCTGAATACCAAATATAGAGTCTCTTGTTTGTGAAGTATACGTGATGTTTTCTAGCGAGTAAATTGTTATATGAAGTTGAATCAAGTTCGCGGAAATATTAAAAGTCATTGATGTTCTGAAAGAAACATGAATTACGTATACTATTGTTCATATGTTACTCACGGACGTACAGAGAGAATCATGGATGGATAGACAGACAAAGGAACTATGTTTAAGGACAGAATCACGGATGGACAGACAGACAAAGGAACTATGTTTAGACTACAGGAACTATGTTTGAGCTACAGTCAATAATATATGATATATATACTCTATAGATACCGGAACCCAGGAACTAGGCAATAAACGACATACTCTATCCACACCATTTTAATGGGTATACAAACTACAAAAAATGCATGCTAATTGAATATAAAATTGTGAATAGAAATAAATAAAATAGCAAAAATTACATTTGACGGAAATTGAGGCATTTGTGTTGTGGTGTTAATTTGTTGATCAAGACGGAAACCTAAACTCGGAAAGTCGAAGCGAAGTCCGCAAGGCCAATCAAGGGAGCATTTATTAAAATTATTTAATCATTTGTGTTTTGTAAGTACAGTAATTACCGGCTACAGCGACAGCATCATGACATGCTAATAGCATAATGCATACACGTGACTCTGGTTGTGACTGTTACTGTGACTGTGACTGTGATTGAGATTGTGATTGTGGGTGTCACGACATTTCGGCTGAATTTCCATCACACCCACAATCAAGGAGGAAGCACAGCCTCAAGCACCACTGCTTAATGATCGAATCGAACTTTAATTACTGTACTGTCACCAGACGATGTCCAATGTATCTGAATAAGCGGCCAATTGTATCTCCGAGATACACGTAGAAATGAGCTTCGACAACAATTAACAGCGAGCAATGCGATTGGCAAGTGCTTTTCCGCAAACCCCCAACAACTAATGACGAAAACAAAATGATCAGACAATGACATTTGCAATAGACAAAGAGACAAAACAAATCAACGGACAATCGCCAATGATCGTTAACAATATTGATAGACGCAGCGTTACACAATTTTTTTTTTTTTTTACTGTTGAACTATTAACAGTTCCCCTCGGCCCGGCCCCGGCCCCGGCCCTGGCCCCGGCGCCCCCCTCCCTCCAAAGTCCTATCCCAAAGCGGTGAATGAAAGATTAACCTTCAAAAGTTTATTGCTGGTTGCTGGTTGCGACAGGGCGGCAAACCAAAAAACCGAAAAATCCAAAAAACCTGTTTTCCTAGCTGAAAACCTGACAATTTAGACTGCTGTTGGCCATCTATTTATAAATACATACATACATACATACCCAAATGTACGCAACATTTGACCACTAAAAATCATTCCAGTTGCAACAAATCAATTCAATTCGAATGCTAGAATGCTATCCAGACCTTAGACTCTGCCTGGCAGGGGTTAACAAAGCTAAGCCGCTTGTAATCCAATTCAATGCATATCAATTGCCTATGCCTATCAGGATTTCTATCAATCTAACACAATGGTATATTAGGAATTTGCAAGTCAAATGGAATGCATTAGCTGCACGATCCAGATGTCAAAGTTGTCGAGTCCAAGGCGCTTTGTAGAATCATCCGATGCGCTCTTGCCTATAGCTAAAGAGGTTAACGTGACGCATAGAGGTGATATATAAAAGTGCATTGGACTAATAGATATTTGCAATTTTGATTCTAAGAAATATAAAAAACGACATTTTCCTATTCGATTTTACGAAGTTTTCAATAAAAAAAAATTGAATGATCTATACAACTTATGTGCAGTATTTTCGTTTATATATTATAAAATGATATATATATATATATATATATATATATATATTATTAAATAGATATATATTTTTACATTTATCTACTACTGTAGTTCCCCCCAAACACAATTTCGTAATGTTGTGATCAAATCCCTTTAATTAGCACCGCATTTGGTAAATATCGAAACGCGGCCATTGGTGCGAAACGTCTTTTGTTTAACATCATAACGCCCCAGAAACTAATTAATATCATTACCAATACGACGATCGTGTCAAACATGACAAAAAGAAATACAAGAAAAACAAAAAATACGCCGAAAACAAAATATTACAAAATAAAAGATTTAAAATATATAACTAAACAATTCGACTTTTAAATACGCTAAACAGCTCAAATTTCGCTCTTTGGATGGGGTATACTAAGAAAGCTTAGTACTTGCTCATGTTGTAGACTTTAGCATTATTTTATGGCTTCCCTTGGAGTTATCGATTTTGTGAAACAAAGCAACAATTATCGAATACTTTATAAATGCGGAAGTAACTACAGTCCAACCCACAGAGCTATAACTTTACCAGATTAACTTACAGGTCAAACTAAGGAATAAGTAGAAAAAAGATAGCGTAAGATCAACTCGTCTCCTGATCTTTAGGAACATATATGCAAATGCATATGTATATATACATTTATGTACATATGTACATAATGTAATAATATGGAAAAAGTCAGACAACAGACTTATATAGATGAACTAATTAATAGATCTAGATAAACTATCTACTAAACTCTACCAACACCATGTGTATAAATTTACATGTTGTCAACCACGCCTCCTATTGACTGGTACATACTCCTCAAGACATGCACTCTGCCCTGCATACCCTTTTTTCCCATGCTCAAAATACTATGTAAAGGTAACGATCATTAAGTAAACGCTGCACGTCGGCCTGTAATTTGCCAAAATATTTACGAGCGAAACACCGCCCATAAAGGGTCTAGACAAGTGCGTGCTCCATGGACCCGGCTGCAGCTAGCAGGCTCAATAAATATGGAAATTAAACGCAAGTATTTCAGTGAAGTAGTTTTCGTTTTCACCTGCGCTCTTCTACATTAAATTGCAATGAGATGGGATTTCCAATGATGCGCCAATAAAAACTGATGCTCAGACGATGCTGTACCGCGAGTGATCTCAATGCCAAGTGGGGCTCAATATAATTTAGTTTGTTTTTGTTGTTGTTGCTGCTGCTGCTGTTGTTGTTTTTTCGCATGCGTAGAGTCATAAATCGTGTATATTCATGTAGACTTATGTTGTGTGTATTGAACCATGGCCCTGGCCGGGACTTACATGGAAGTCTCTGAACGCCAGCTCAAATATGGCTAAAATAGCGAAGAGGCGACTCGGCGCGACTCGGCTCGGCTCGGCTCGGCGGCATTGTCTAGCTTCGGCATGACAACGCCAGAATGCGTGTGGCTTACAAATAACCTTGGCTGCTCATAAGCATTTGACTAATGTTCCACAAATAAGAATAAAGCAATTATGTCAACTGAATATTTGGTTTACTTTTCATACGTTTTCATTTTCATTTTCATGTCTGAACTGTGTCAGTGCGCTTTAATGCTGAATTTGCAAAGTACAGCTCAAAAACAAAAACAAAAGAAGAGAAAATACAAAAAAAAATAAAATAAAGAGGGAAAAAGACAAAAGCAAATACCCTATAAACCCGATGCCAAATGAAATGAAATTTCAACATGGCGAAGGCGAAGACAACGCTAGCTGCGATGCCATTGTCGCTGTCGACGGCGACGTCGACGTCGATGGCAACAGCAACGGCAACGCGTCGTTGGCAACGCCAGCCCAGCAGCGTTGCCAAGACAAGAAAAAAATCATGTTAAGTAGTAATTAATTAAACCCAATAAATATGAGTTCGAAGTGTAACTGTGAATGTAAGCCAAAAATATTGTGAAATACTTGAGATGCCAAGCCGCCCTGCCTCCGCGCCCTTCACACTGCCTACGCACCTAAGCCGAGCTGTGTAAATTACTTTCTTTCTCGCTCGTCAGCACATGCGCCCGAATTGCAAATAACGGCAAAAGACAGTGTGAAAGACAAAGAGAGCGAGCGAGGCGAGCGAGGCGAGCGAGGCATCTCACAACATGAGATGACACCACACAAAAATGTTCATATTCATACATATGTATGCATGTATGCATGTAGGTAGGTATGTATGTATGTGTGGTGTATGTTGGTATGCTTCTCGAAGTGTGTGGGTTTATACATAATCATTCGTAATTTCGGAATCAAGGCAACTGCAGTTGTATTTGTTGTTGATGTAACTAGCTGGGCAGGTGGGCAGCGGCTGCAGTGCTGGGCGACTGACACTTTGCCACAGCTTATATAATGGGGCCAATACTTACCCCAAAGAATCGTGTAAAACCGCATTTCTTGTATCGGATAGGTGACCAGACAGAAGAGGGCGATCAGATGCAGCAAGGAGATCTGTATGACCTTGTCCCATTTGAGGGGCGCGTTGAAGCGCCAGCCCAGGATATTGTCGCCCTTGAAATTGCGAACGTATTCCTCCATGTTGATTTGATCCTTGGGTATGTAGTCGATCAGATGCTTTGGAATATTCTTGACCGCCGGCTCTGCTGACAGTGGCACCGACTTCTGCTGTTGCTGTTGTTGTTGCTGCGGCTGCTGCTGCTGCTTGCCGCGCGGCATCGACTCGGGCGATGAGTCCTCGCTGCGGCGCGCCTGCGCCTCGCTGCTCAGCTTGGCACGGCGCGCCAGCAGCGGCGGGCTGCCCTCACCTGTGCTGGCCATGGGCGTGGTGCTGCACACGCGCTCCGATGTGGACAGGTGACCCATTTGGTGCTGTGCTGTCTATGACTAAGAGATGGGTAGGGGCAGGGGACTTGGGCAAGGGGATTACGATTTGTCAAAACTTTTCACTTGGGCTGGCGGAAACCCAGGTTTCGTAATTGCCGCTCCAAATCCAACAACTATCTTCTTCACAGATTTACACACAAAACAAATTTTTTAATTGCGGCTGGAAGTACGTTTTTGTTGGCTTTGTCGCCTGCTATTTATTTTTTTATCTTATTATTTTCTTTTCTTGGTCGTTTTGGCTTTATTTTACTTATTTTCGGTTGTTTTTCGCTTTTAGTTTTGCTTTTGCTTTGCACTCGTAACACTTGTCGCGGCCCTTTTTATGGATATCTCTCGCTCTCTATGTGCGTGTGTGTGTGTGTATGTGTGTGATGGTTGGGTCTTTGGGTGCAAGACCGCGTTTTCTCTTCGTCGGGGGACCTGGGATACTCAAGTGGATTTTAGGTTTTTCCTTGCGCTCTGACTATCTAACGAACTTAACCCGCCGCCGTTCCGTAGACAAGTGATCGGAGTCAAAACTTAAAATTTCTACCCTATGCCGGCGCTGGCTTTGACGTTGGCGTTAGCGTTGGCGTTGACGCTGACGCAGCTGTTGGCGTCGCTGCTGCTGCTCTTGCTGTGGCCATTGTTGATGTTGCTGTTGCTGCTGCTGCTGTTGCTGCTGATGGCTGGGCTGACACGCCACAAAACTGACTGATTGACCGACTGACTGATTGTTGTTGTTGTTGTAAGTGGTGGTGGTAGTGGTGCGCACTGTGGACTCAGTAAACTTAATACAAAGACAAAAACTGCAAAGCAAAGGCCAAGATTATGCCACCACACACACACACTCAGGCACGCAGGCACGCACACTCGTGCACTTGCCACTGCGTCAAAGCTCGCTGTGTGACTTCGGCGTAGGGCTCGAGCTTCGGCTGTGAGCTTCGGCTGCGAGCTTCGGCGCAGCATCAGTCGGATTGGCGGGGAATTTTACTGTTGTTGTTGTTGATGTTATTGGTTTTGGTCTTCTCTGCTGCTGTTGCGGCTGGCAAAGACAATCGACAAGAAGTCTGCTGACTGCGCAGCCAAAGCTGTTTCCTGTTAGGCAATGCGCATGACACGTAGCAGTGACCCGTGTCTCTCTCCAATCGATCTCAACATATTTGCATGCAATAACATATTCTGTTAACACGGAAATTTATGTATATCTCATAAAAACTATGTATATATTGGGCCTAAAGGCACTTACCTATTTATAAATTTATTATAAGAAATATCACCTTTGTTTTGAATGATGTTGGATCATTCGCAAGCCGATTTCAATTTGGCGTAGGTTAGTGCGTTGCCTACCTGTGCCCAATCAAATGGAGTGCAAAATTATTGCACAAGAGCCAACAGCTAATTCTGTTCGTCGATTGTATTTGCATATGACAAAAGCAAAACTAAAAACAAAAATAAAAACCAACAACAAATTTCCCAATCAATCTCTCTTCCATAAAATCTCTGAGTCTCGGAATATGTTTATGTATGTATGTGTGTGTGTATGTTTGTGTTGTATTTAAAATTGGATCCACAGTTGTAGTTCGCTGCTGTTGTTGTTATTGTTGTTGTTGTTGCTGTTGTCATGTGGCCTTCTCCACTTTGGCTTTTTTTGTTGACCAAAGTCAAAAACCGTTCGATGATCATGAAGTTCAACAGCAGCAAAAGCAACAGCAACAGCAACAGCAGAAACAGCAGCAGCAACAGCAACGTCGACTACTTTGCTTTCTCTTTACGTAACGGCAACAAAGCCAAAGACAAAAGCCAAAAAGCCAAAAATTTAATTAAAACGCAGCAAAAACGGCGAAACTAAATAAAAGCCAAGCACTAAAAGGAAGCGCAAGCGCGATCTTTAAAACCTAAACGAAACATCGGGAGGTATAAAACTTAAAAACTACAAAATAAATTCAAAGCTGCAGCTCGCACGGTCTTAACTATTTCAGCGATTCCCGTGCATTTACGAGATTTTGCTGTCGGTGTCGCAGCTTTTTTTTTTTTTTTTTCTTTTTTCCTCAGCTTTTTTGTGGTTTATGTTGTAAGCTTCACACATTAGCAAATTTAGCTGAACATCAAATTTCAATTGTCAAAAGAAAACAACCAAAGCCCGAAAAACAAAAAAATAGTCAACACAAATGCCCAACTTGACCACAATGCAAGAGGCAAAGGCGAGAATATATGCACACGCATATACACTGCAAGAAAATAGAGTATCATCGGTGATTTACTTATAATGAATAGAGCTCAAACAGTTAAAATAGTTGGGAATTTTTGTGGACTAGCTACATTTGTACATTGCTACACTTGGTACATTTGGAATACATGGTATGTTTGGAACACTTGGTATACTTGGAACATTTGGTACACTTGGTACATATGGAAAACTAGGTAGACTTGGAATACTTAGTACACTGGTACACTTGGTAAATTTGGAACAATTGGTAAATTTTGATCACCTGGTACACTTGGAACACTTGGTACATTTGCAACACTTGGGACACTTAATATTTTTCGAACGCTTGATACACTCGGAAATGATTCGAAGGGAAAACTAGGTACACTTAGTAAACTTAGTAAAATTTGGTACATTTAGTATATTTGTCACACTGGATTGACTTGGAATACTTGGATTACTTTCAACAGCTGCAATATTTTATAAATTTGGTACACTTGGTACACTACTTGAACAAATTAGTATACTTAAGAGACATCTTACACTGGGAGTGCCTGACATGCTTGGTACATTTTCAGCACTTGGCACATCTGTCAGATTCGGTACACTTGTCAAACTGGGTTCTCTTGACACACTTGGAGCATTTGGTACACTTGAGACACCTGTTAGACGCATTGTAAGTTTCACAAGCTTTACCTTCAATATTTCTAATGGTCCAAGTGAGTTTAAAAAAATTCTTTAAATATACATACATATACCATCTGACACCTTTGCGATCTGTTAAGCACACCTAGCGAATTGTGAGTGGATTGTTTATAATAAATTTGACAAATTATCTCAATGAGCATTCACAATATGTTGAGCCAGTAGCTGGTTTGTTTGCTGTATTTACTTTATTGCGCAGCTTCACTTAGTCAAGTTTGCAGCGTCAGCGGTTTTTATGAACCGAAACAATTGAAAGACAAAGAATAAATTCTGGGCCCAAAGAATTGTACGAATGTGAACAAAGCTCTTTACTATGTACCTAAGTACCCACACACACACAGGCACATATAGACATGACTTCCCATTCGTATCTTTGTAAATAGCAACAAATATCTGAAATTTAATCATTTCCTACTCTTGCGCTATGTGATCACAATCAAAAGCCATTCATTCCATTCCCGTGCCAGAGTCGTATGAAAAGACAATTTGCTAAGGTATATTTCTTCTGTGGGTAGGTAATGGACATGCTGTGCTTATGGGTGTATGTGTATCTTTAAATCGCATCTATTTGGTGTTATAGAAGTTTCTACATCATATGCAAAGTCTGATCGCATGCCTTTTGATCGATTGTTCCATCCAAGTCTATAATACAGTATATGTAGTTTTAGAGACTTTGTCCCCTCTCTGTACTGACTCAATAAGTATTACACCAACCTTGGTAGAGTTGTTGGGCTTTCAAATGCTGGCGCAACGACATATAAATATATGACAGATAATAGATTCGTTGCACTTTCAAATACGGGGGCATTTCGCCCAGAATTAATGAGACGAAGCCGCTTTGTTTCAAAATCAAACTTGAGCTTAGGCACATGTTTGCATGCATTGAAGATAATTAGACTTTGTGCAATTTCTTAGGCTACGCATCGGACTGCACATTCTGTAGCACTCATTTGCATTATTGTGTAGAATTTTTAATTGAATGCGAATGCGAATAATTATTTGGGTTCAGGGTAACTTATAGTCGGGCATTCGTCATCAAGATATATTGACGTATTTCAACTTGGTTTTTAGTTTTTACTAGTTTTTGTTGATTTTTTCCAAAAAAGGCGTCAGTGTGCTTAAATGCTGTTCAGGGTTATAGACAAATGTATTAAGAGTGGTACCTATTTTAATTTGAGGTACAATGCGATAAAGGTACATTTTATTTGCATCTGAGCAGATTTTGTATATTTGCTTTGATTTTGCATAAGTTTGAAGCTTTTATTTATGTTGTCAAAACATGAATGTTTACTCGAGCAGAAAAGTCACGTATGTACATTATGGGAAATTGCAGACACATAAATATACGTACATGAGATGCATTTCCTAATTTTGTCAGCCTTGAATTGGTATTTAAGTGTGTGAGTATTAGGTACATTTTTGTGCTCTATGGATACATGGTAAATTATTATATAAATAAGGTAAATTTTAATGAGTTTATTGGCGCTGTATGGTTAATTGCAGATAATCACGACTGTATATGGTCCATTATATATATTTCTTTCCTGCTCTTAAAGGTGTATTTGAAGACAGATATATGTTTGTATTTGTATAGATTATCGCATTTTCCATGTTCTTGGTACTTTATGCTTATATTTGAATTATGGATTTGATATTTGATTTATAGATTTAATATTTTCTTGATGGCTAATTACCGATTATATTATTTTTAGGCACACTATAAATATCTCGTTTATATGTTAATGTCGAATGGGTGTTCTTAGACAGCCATATATATAGATACATCGGTACATGTGGCCATTCTCTTAGACAGATGAACATGTGGTACATTTGGAAAATTTTCATGTATACGCTCCGACTATTAACGTAGCCAAAGACACTTCTTTTTCAGTAAATAACATATGGCATATTAGGTCTTGTTTGCACCTCTTAGGTACTTGATAGGCTCGTTGCTCTGCATTAGGCATCGGCCATCGAGCAACAAACATTAAATATTAAACATTACAAAAGTTAAAGCCGTCAACAATAAATTGCGTATCTGTGCAACCTTCAACTGTCGCTCCGTTGACTATTTCCATGAAAAAGACAAAAAAAAAACACACACACAAGCACACACACACACATTCATACAACAGAAACAAATTAACATAACAAAGCGCAAAAGTAGGCACAGCGCAAGTGCAATTTGCAACAAACTTAATGCCCCAGCGAAGTGTGAACAAAAAACGAACTATCTACAGACACACATACACACAGACACAAACACATCCACACACAAACACACAAACACATTCACACACCGCCATATGCAATCAAAAACCATTTTTATTATGGCTGCGCATGTGTGTCTGCCTGTGTGTATATGTGTGCTTTGTACCTGCCACAAACAAAAAGCAAATCAATCAAGAACAACTGCTGCAAAAATGGAGAAGATCGAATACTCTCTCAGTCAAAACAGAAAAAATATTTAAAATATTAAATATACAAATATTAAATATACTGAATGCTATAAATGGCTTGGCTCAAAGAGTTATTGAATTAATTTAATATAAAATAAAAATAATAATAATAATAAAGTCAGCTTAATATATATCA